CAACTACAACCACAACCACAACAGCAGCAGCAGCAACAACAACAACAACAACAGCAGCAGCGGCAGCAGCGGCAGCAGCAGCAACAACCTACATAGCTACATCAGTCACTTTTGTCAGCTTAACTGCGCGAGCACCCAACAGCGATCATTTCCCTTTTCCGGAGATGCACCTGTGCTTTGTCCTGGCTGGCTGTAACCAGTGAACAAGGCCGTGGGAGCCGAGGTGGTGTAGGTGTATGCACCCGCACTGAGATCCGCGTTCAATGCCTTCTGCGCCGTTGCACCTTCCATGTGAAGCTACAAGCAAGAATGGCAAACTCAAGTGCTCACAGTCTGCCAAAAGCTTGGTTTGTTCAGCTGCCGAGGTGCCAATAATTTGGCCCTGCGGGGTGTAGCTAGTCAACGATGCGGGAGCTGCAGAGGTGGTGTAGCTCGGTGCAGTGTAGGTGTACGATGCCAGGTCAGCGCCCAAAGCACTCTGTGATGTCTGGCCTAGGCTGGCAAGGAACAACTACGCGGCCGAGATCACCTGCACCCGTTCATGACCAGCGCAGCCCTCATTAGGGCTCTGACCGCATGCCTTCCGCACTCTTGTGACGTAGCCCCAAACCCTCAAACCTGAATAACCAAAACCCTGCCAGGAAACCTGAAATGATCTGCTGGCTGTAACCAGTGAAAGGCGTCCCGCTGGAGCTGTAGGTGTAGGAAGCGGCATTGAGATTGGAGCCCAAGGCACTCTGACTAGGCTGGGCCTGACCTGAGACGAAAGACTCCTCTCAGCTCGGCTATGAAACCGCGAGCTACAGAGACAATATAGGGGCCTTAGCAATTAGAATACGTTCTTGGTTTTGGTTTCTGGGGGGGCATTTTTGTTATTCGAGAACTTTGAGGAATAGTTGTTCAAGCTGCTATATTAGCGGCAGGATCTTTGCTGGGATATGGAAGTGCATGATATCCAAAGTAGATGGGACGGATAGCTCGCGGGAGACACTTTGTTGCAATAGCCCGCATTTGCAAGGCCACCCTGACGAAACATGGCTCAAAGCTAAGCAGCTGTAGGTGAAGGGAGAAGGCGTGCTGTACGTGTAGCTCCCAGGCACCTCTCGGCAGATCACGGTATAGTCCCGGTATCGACAACGCGTTGGAGTTTAGGGCCTCAGGGGTGATAGGGGCTCGTAGAGTTCGACTTAAACTTGGAATTCGAGAAAGGTTGAAAGACTTTAACTGGAAGCAGAACCTCGTTCGCGGAGGGCTCAAGCTGTCCTATGAATGCGCTGCATCTGCTTGTGCCTGCTGACTTGTTATTACAGTATACGTATATTAGTACCTACGATCTGGTACTAGGTCAGACTACGTTATATGGAAAACTGTTATGCATATCGCTGTTGGCCGACGACTGGTATCGTGGGCTCCGACAACAGTTGGTGCGCACAAATGCTGCCAGAGTTGTACGCCGGTATAGATTTCTTGGGGATGTTCAACATCACCATAGCCATAGCCATCCTACGTCGTTCTGTAATCAGGCACAGTCAAGTTCCTCGTTTCTAAGTCTGCTTTCGCCGGCCATCATCATCATGTGCTGGTTCATCCGCATGCACTACATGTGTAGCATATTCGACAAGCATGGGATTCCCGAAGCCCTCCAAGATGTCTGCTCACTGTTACCATCGGAGTGAACTGTCAAATCTTCAAAGCATCTTTCATCCAGAGTCGACACCGGAGTATTCTTGGGCATAGTGTGGTTCCGCTCGGCAAAACTACTGTCACATCGTCGGCTCGCTGGTAGAATTGATTCAAGAGCGGTACCGACAAGTGTCGGAGGTGCCAGCCTGGGGCGTTGGCACAGCTGTGGATGCAGTGTTCATCGTCGCGGCTGCCATGCCACCAGTAGAGTAGTAGCCTCGGATCCATGATCAGATCAGAGAGGTGTCGAAGTTTGACGGCGTCATGGATCAAAAAGCACCAGTGCTTCGGATTCCACGCAGCAGCTTACCTTCGCAGACTGGGGGTTGCAGGCTTACAGCTGCGCTTGGACTGAGCTCAAGCTGTACAACCTGTCTGAAAGCTTCTCTGCCCAGATGCCCTCGAGGGACAGGCCTCGAGATGCAGTTCCTGAGGAGTCAATCCAAGCCCTCTCTGTCGGTTTGCTCGCTGGTGTGTATACCTGTGTCGGTATTCTGTATGCCTTTCAGTCAGACAGTCATTCATTCAGTCAGTCATGCTTGCTGCATGTTGCGCAGGCTTCTTCCAAACTTGACGGCAGTACAGCAGATGTCGAAATCCTTGCGGGAATTGTTCTGAAAGCCGTCTCATGACCCGCACAGCCCTGTTGTATCTTCTGCAGTAGCAGACTAGCATTATAAGCACCCTGTAAAATAGCCCTTAGCGAGAACCTTTATACCTGATGGTACTAGCAGGGCTTCTATGGGGTTTAGGGTTTAGCGTACCTCTTGCAGTAGCTCATGTAGAACCCGAACCCTCTGCATGCAAAACATGAACAGAATCTGCCGGAGGCTCTGCCCACTTCCGCCGTGGGCAACAGGGAGGGCGGAGTGAAACAGGCGGCCGGAGGCGGTGTGTAGGATGCCACGCCCAACCTGCGGAATCACTCGAGATTTTGTCTCGTACTCAGTGCAATGGGAACAGCACATGATGTTCTACTTTGCACGGAAAGTCATACTCCGGAACATAGTAACTACTACGTACTAGGAACACCAGCAACACACCGAAATGAGGGATAACATTCATAATCTGCCATGTCACCACCAGCAACAACATCAGCAACAGCGACTGCGACACCACCATCATGCACCGCTGTATGGTCATCAGCACAGTGAGCCGAAGAGCCCACGCTCGGCCCTCCTAAAATCGCCGAGCCCGATCAAGCTCAATGCCTCGAGACCTGAACGTGACGGGATTCTTTCAACATCGGCTGGTTGCGGTTGAGGGTTCAGGGCTTCCCCTTCATACCTGCTTCCAGGTAGCTGATGCCTGTATTTGTTTGATCCCTCTTCCCCACCTAATCCAAACACTCAGAAAAAGTTTGAACTGCTCTAACTTATTTCACCACTCCAGGAAAACAACCAAAGCAAATTGCAAGACGTTCCGTGCCTCTAACCCTGAAATCCTACATACGGCCTTATCTAGCCACCCTTCTGGAAACCCTGAACACATACCCGTAGTACTTGAAGCCCTGTTGCCTGCTCGTGGAAGGCGCAGCTGCTGGGGCCGGCATAGCCGTCGACGCTGGGGCGGGCAGGCCGGAGACTGGTGTGCCGAGTCCTCCTAGCGCCGGCGTCGAAAGGCCCCCCACTTGTGGGATGGCAGGCAGCACTTCCTTTCGGGCAGACAGGAGGGTCGTGTCTGAAGATGCAGTGCGGTTGCTTGCACATGTCGGAGTTCTCTAAGTTAAAGTTGCGTTTTAGATCCCCCAAATGGTACGGCACTCCTACAGAAAGGACCCTACTCTAGAGAACTACTCATGCGGTTCAGAACTGACAGGTTGTGAAGCACAGCTGGCGGATCTCAAATCCTCCTGCTTCTTCACTTCTCCGTTAGTTAAATTCAGGAAACTTTCAACTGCGTCTCAACGCCTGAACAAGCAAGTTGAGACAATTGCACTTCGTGTTCGGGCACTGTCTTAGAATCAGAGATACGACGATACGAAGAACAGCTTGGCATAAAGACGCCAAGCATCGTGGAAGCCAGTCGGTGCCTGGAGAGACGGAGAGACGGCAGAGAGCTACGTCACAACAATGCGATACAAAGTAAATGTTGCATTCATCCCGAAATTGAAAGACCCAAACCCGAAGTAAGCAGTTTACTGCCTTGAGTCATGTAAGTTACAAGTTCATGCGTGCGAAAAGGTATACATATGGAAAACTGTGCCCTTCTTCAGGTGCTTCCCTTTTGTTGTCCACCCTTGCCTCAAAGATTGAGAACACACCCTCGCATGAGCTTTTTATGAATGATACTGACAGTCTTGCCATACTTGTCAGCTCCATCGTGCCGTCATCACTAAGCTGGCTGCGCATTGATCATTCATACGTGCTGCTGCGTCTGCGCCGCTGCCACTGAACCCGAACTGCCGATTGCAACTTGAGCTACCGCCCAGCCATCCAGCAAAGTAGAAATAATAAAACCGCAACGAAGTTTCGAGCCGTTAGAACAGACGCTCTTCGCAGGACACCTGCGCTCAGTTCCGAAAGAGCTGCCCCCGACATCAAGGTTCCAACCCCTCTGGGCCCCTGGCATTTGTCGAGAGCTGCGACATCAGGTCCTTGCTTTAGGATTTTCTTCGGGGTCTCTGCGATGTCGAGACGGAGCTCAGAGTCGGAGGCTTCGAGGGTTTCGGATGCAGCTTTCAGGGTTCAGCGTTTAGGGTTTAGAGATTAAAAGGCTGGACCCGAGTTCCGAAATCTTCCATGCTGTGGCATGTGGCGGCAGCATGGATGCAGTACGCCTCCTGGAAACAGAGCTTCCAACATCGCTGAAAGTGCCAAGATGCTTCGTAGCCGCACCACACCCCCCCAAAAAAAACCCTAAACCCTAAATCCCCCAAAACTCTGTACCCTGAACCCTACAAGCCGTCAAACCCTACAAGCCCTCAAACCCTAAACCCTAAAGCCCAAAGCCCTGCAAACCCTCAAACCCTAGACCGTAAAGCCCTAAGCCCTACTGTACAAGCCCTCAAACCCTGAACCAAAAAAGGCTAAACCCTAAACCTGCCTAAAACTCTAAATCCTGCAGCCCCAAAACCAAAACCCTACACCTGCACCCTCAACCCCTAACACCCTAAAGCCCAAAATCCTAAACCCGCAGAGCCCTAAACCTAACACCCTAAACACCCTAAACATCCTGAACCCCTTAAGCCTTGAAGCGTAAATTCTAAACCCCTAAAGCTCTAAACCCTAAAAATCCTAAAATCCTACACGCCTAAAGCCCTAAATCCCAAAACACTAAACCCCTCAAGCCCTAAACCTCGAATCCCCTGTTCCGGTCCGGCATAGCCGCAAAGAGGTTAGGCTTGCCAAAGATGTTCTCCAGAAGTGGCTCCTTCATCCGGACCAAGAGGTTTGGGCGTTAGGGTTGAGGGTTTAGGGCGCCTGTAAAGGGATCTACAAGGGCTTTGGGTTTCAGAGAAGCGCCATACTGATGCCAAATCACTGGGGACAAGGGCTAGCTGTTGCTGTGATCCGAGCAAAACTTTGCAGTTAATGCAAACTCGTGCCGAGGCTGCAACATGGTCCCGCACTCACCAAACGTGATATATCCGTCTAACTAGGCGAGATCTGAGCAGACTTTAGATTGCACTGGGGCAACGGCTGGCAGCATGCAGAGCATCAGTTCGGACCCATATCAAAGCAGGAGACGAGAGAGTCGCTTGCAGCTCCTCGTCCATAGGTCTGCGCTCCATAGGAGCTCGGAAGTCATACTCTCCCATCCTTCTGTGTTTGATTTTTGGTCAGGGGGGGATTAGGTTTAGGGCTTTAGGGCTTCAGGGCTTTAGGGCTTTCACAAAGAGCTTCATGCTTGCGGTTCTGGCGTTTCAGTCTCATAGAAATTATGTAATATCTGCGGTTTGCTAAGTAGAATAGGGTTTGGGTTAGACTACCGTATAAGTAAAATGAGAAACCCTATAAGGAATAGTACCGGTACTTATTCAGCCTTCTACAATAACCATCCTCGTTGCTTCACCATCTGAGCTCGGAAGATGCGTCTGCCTGCCTCCCTGTTCTGATGGTGGGCTGCAACCATGCAGTTCTTCTGTCTACTAGAAGCCTAAGTTCGATATTTTCTACCTATAGTCTCCATTGTAGTTCCTTGTTTTGGTTTAACCAATTCTATATTAAGGATTGATTCTATAAGGTAACCCCAAAAAGGAACTACAATGGAGCCTATAGGTAATATGGGTTGGAGACACGAGAAGTTCTGGATTCCAAGATCCCGGCTTCTCAGCCTATGCCAACCTGGTTGCGACTCCACCAAGCTCAGTGGCTTGGGTTCAGCCAAGATATACAACATGTATGTATGTGTATATATATATATATATGTGTGCATATGTAATTATATAATTACATATATATATATATACACAGATGTGTATATATATATATATAATATAATATATATATATATATATATGTAACAGTCAGAACTCAAGTTGAAGACAACTCCGCATCATCGGAACACAACCTTCTTTGCAAGCGGCTCCAATGTGAATCAGATTACTTGGCTTCCGCAAGCCGCTGTATGTTCCGCCATGCTTCAGCCAACCTACTGTAGGTTAAGGGTCTGCAAAATCAGGACTCGGGGGATCTTACGGCAAACGTCATTGGGCAATGTGGCCACATCAGTTCGGGCTGGCCGATGGATGCACTCAATTGGCTTCCACGGTTTCCTGGATGACGCTGAGTCCAAGTCACCTTGCAACCTCTCACAGCACCCGCCAACCTTGAGCCAGCCTAAAACCTTGAAGCCTCAAAACCCAACAAGGTGAATGAGGACAAACATAACTATCATAGGCGTTGTAGCTAGTCTTTTGTAGCCAATGATCGTCATAGTAATCGTAGCCCGAAGAGATGATTCAGAGCACGTACTCACAAAAGTGATAGACCTCGTAGACAAGCAGAGAACTCAGATCATAATCAGAAGCCCTCTAGATAATGATCGTAGTCATCATAGTAAGAATTACTCCATCTTTCCTAAGCCCTAGGACCGTCTTCAACAAAGTCTCAGGCTGGGCCCAAGGTCACGGGCCGGAGGCGAAGGTGGCCGGGGCTTTTCGGGGTAGGCCGGCGGAGGCTGCTCCTCAGCTTGAGGGTTGAGGGCTTATAGGGCTAGGGTTTAAGGTTGAGGGCTTATAGGGCTTATAGGGCTTCCGGGTTCGGGGGTTTTAAGGTTTAGGGGTGAGGTGGTCTGGGGTTTCAGGCTTTATGGGCTTTATGGATTTTAGGGGGGTGCGGCCTTCAGAGAACGGATTTTCGAGAGTCCCATGGCGTTGGGAACTCGAGCCCTGGACGCTCAGATGCCAGAGAGTTAGGGTGCAGCCGGTGCAGCTTGAGCCTTTGATCCTACTATAAATTCGTGTCTGAATGACTGGATAAAGCTCTTCCGACACGGTCTGAGGCCAAAGTAATCCCCTCGAGTCTCTACTGTAACACTAAGCTTCCCAGTCCTCCAAGAGAACAGTGCTAACGATCAAATATGGCGAGGCAGCCTAAATAATTGGTAGGGAACCCTCAGGTCAGCAAGCCACCTGAAAGCTTAGGGCGATTCCTTCTCCCTACACCCTCTGTTCTTCTTTGGCGAAGCACCATGGGGCCCATGGGGCCGCCCATGGGGCCGCCCAGGCCCATCCCCAAGCCAGGTTGAGGACGCAGGTTCGCAGCCGCGCGCTCGGGGTACAAGGCCACGCGGAACTCCACCTCACCTCCCTGCAGGAGCAGAGAGGATTAAGAGCTTCGCCAGAAGGGTTCCGGAGGATGCCTTAAGGCAAGGTTGTAAGAAGGGTTCTGTAGGGTGGTATAAACTCCTTAGGCGGCTTCGATAGCACACTTTGACCGGGGTAAAGGCAGTTGAGGGCTAGGGCTCCGCACTCAAAAGAGCTTGTGGGTTTAGGGTTACGCCGGTTAGGGTTTAGTGTTTGAGGTTCGCCCTGAGGCAGGGAAACCGCCCAAATGACTGAATACGACTGAGACATCGTGCACCAAAAGGAAAGGCTACATCCATCGGAAGATCCAACTCCTCACCCGGCCGTGAAATCCAACTTCTGCAGAGGAAGGCGCATTCTGCAAGAACTGCCGGCGCTCTTCCCATGTCATGGACGGCAAGCTCCTGAGGGGAACCTGCAGTTAGAGCTGAGAGCCCAATCATACTCCAGAGATAAGAGTTAGGACGGTTAGGATTAAGGGGACCCTTGGGGACATAGGCCCTCTGGACAAGATCCCTTTTCAGAGGGCCAGAAGTAGGATTAAGAAGGGTCCCCTTTAAGGGGTCTGCCTAATACTACTAGGAAGAGAGGCACATCGGGAAACAGCCGCATCAAGCTAGTTCGCTACGATTCAAAGCCAAGTCTCTGGAAGCGATCAATCATGGAAACCTAAATCTCTAAACTCTCGAGCGTGTATCTTCCATGCCCTGTGGAATGCTTCAAGGAAGTCTTTCAGTCACTGGGTCTGTTGAACCTCCAGCGGCTCTTAACCCGAAGCTCTAAGCCGGATGCTTCCGTCACTTGCAGGTGGGCAGCATCAACCCGGCCGATCAGCTCATCCCGTCCGGCGTTCCGCACCTCTTAGTCTTACTCTCAATCTCAAAGTTTAGAGTCTCTTGCCCCACGGGGGGTCTTGGAACATAGTAGTCGGGGTTGGTGGCTTGATTTCTACACGAGTATGAATCCTTGGACTGACAGAATTCCTGAAACGGCAAAACAAAACAAAAAACGAAGCTACAGTGGCGTTGCCGCGTGCACATTTGCTTTGCAATC